GTTAACAACACCCCGTGATAGCCCCCAACAAAATGAACATATAAAAAAAAATATACCATCTAGAAATCAAATTCAGTATAGGCTATAAAAATAAGTAGAAAATTAAAATATTGTATTTCTCTGAAATAGAAATGTGAACTGTTATTCATTTGATATCTAAATAATAGTAAATCCAATGAATATTCACTACATTTATTATTAGTTAGATGTCCAACAAAATAACGGTTCAATCTCTACTCTAAAAATAAACTACAGCCAAAATTCTCGTGATCTAGTGATCGAATCTGTATACTTAATGTTTGGATAGAATTAAATTATCACTGAACCACGAGAATTTTGATCATAAAAAATTATGCAAATCCGATCACAAGAATTTTGGTCGTAAAAAATTATGCAAATCCGATTACGAGAATTTTGGTCGTAAAATTTGTACAAGGATGCTTATTGTCAGAGGGATATGATATATAATTTTCGTTTTCTTGCTCTTCCCTTTTATGAGAAGAGTGTAATGCAAACCATTGAATCAAATTGTCTGGCCTATCTTAACTTGAAGTTAATTCGTCATAATAGATTCGCTACTTTAAAAAATAGTTCGTTCATTTTAGATGTTTACTTCATTTCCCCCCTCTTCCCCCTCCCGAGAGTCCTAGAAAGTGATGTTAACCGAAGAATCAACTGCAAGCGGCCTAAATCCGCCCATATGTTTGTCAAGAGTTTCATAATTCGTCAGCTGTTTCGTCAGGCATCCCATTAATATACGTACATACAATATCTAATACAGGTTACCCCGTCAATATCAACCTCGTTAATATCAACCTAAGCCACAAACCAAATTTTTATAAATTTTTATATATCAAAATTCCCTCATATATATCAACTTTAATATGATTTCTCGTTAATATCACTATCATTATTTAAAACCAATTCAAATAGGTTGATATTAACGGGGGTAACCTGTATTTAATTATGAAAACAAAAAATTATACTAATTTGCTATAAATTCTTCGACTAAAAATAAATTTACTAAGCATCAGGCGCTTTCATGACTTGACTTGCAATTGCTAAAAGGTAAATATATTTTTTATTTTGATTTTAGTGTCGATTAATTATTTTAATAAAAATACACGATATTATATTGAAAATTATATAATTATAACATACTATTCACTACTACTTATATTACGACCTATTGATATAATATCCTATCCTATTACGACCTATAACAGATCATAATTCTTGCTACTTATATTACTACTTACGTTAATACTACGAAAGTTCAACTCAAGTAGTGAAGTTTGTAACTTCATTATCTCAAAATGTCTGCACCTCTAATCATTAATATTATTAACTCTCCTCTTTAATGTTGTCTTTGTCGGCAATTTGTTCAGGTGCTATTGTGATTTCACATTCTTTATTATTATCATTACAACAATTAGAACTAGAATCGCAATTATTATTTTTGACGGCATCACTTTTACAACAACCACCATTGAAATCTTCATGCATTGCCCATAGAATCATTCCTATACCTTCTTTTGCAAAAAATAACCCTAAAATTAAAGCAGCAGTAGAATCTACCCACCAACCAGCATTCCAAACAGAATAAATCAGACTGCCAAGAAATAAAACAAAAGCAGTTTGTATACATGATAGACTACACTTTGCATCAGACATCATTGCCGAAGAATTAAGTTGTTTAGCAACTGAGAATTTCATGAGCCAAAGAAATATCATGAAACATATTGTAACAGATGAAATGATTAGACCTGATAGAGATGAATCAGGTTTTTTATTTTTCGCCAGAGAAAAAATTGCGTCCGAAAATGTTCCAATTGCAAGTATAACAAACAATATACCAATTACAATTGTTGCCTTTCTTTCAATAGCTATTAAGTTATCCTTAGGACTTCCTTTATGAAGGTCTTTTTTCAAAAATCTCCATAAAACCACACATGAAGAAGTAACTTCAACTAAAGAATCAATTCCAAAAAAAATCAAACTGACTGAATCATTTTCTGTACCGAAAAAAACCGAGATTACGCCTTCAGCTAAACTCCATAAAAGCGTAATAATTGACAGGAATATTGCAATGTTGATAAGTTTTGAACGAGGCAATGATTCAAATTTTGATAGCAACTTCATTTTTGAATGAATAAGTTGTAACTTAACAAACTGCAAAAAACCCGATATTTATAAGTTTCTATTCCCGAAATTTAAGGTTTAATTTTACTACGGGTCACATATTGTACAGTCGATACTGCCTAAATGCATACTGCATACTGTATCAATAATTAATGAACAATTGTTAAAATTATTATCAATTCTTTTTGTCTTTTCCGACAATATTCATTTAGACAGTACCGACTATACTATGTATGTTATGAAGCTTTGAAACAAATTACCCTAAATTAAAGAAGCCGTCCGACATTTGATTATCTTTTCTTTAAGAGAAAGTCGCCAGACGATACTATATATGTATATGCACGATTATCGCGTAATTACAAACTAAATTAGGTGATAGTCAAGGGTTGTAAATTATTAATATAAAAGTGTGTTGCTACACCCGATTATCTCATTAAAAGTACGATCAACTGAGGTCTAGAATACCCGACCAAAGTACTCGTGTGACAAATCATGCAGATCAATTTTTTACAATATTATTTATATGTGACATGCATGTAAACAATTGTTTTTTAATCTTTCACTGTGCAAAAAAATCGTGTCACACCGGGTACTTTGGTCAGCGCTACGGTACTTGAATTTCTTACGCACGTAGGTACGTCCTGTTGGGCATTATGCTAATTAACCAATAATGTATTCAAGAGGATTTAATGCAATTACGAAAGTGGCAAACGACTAAATGTATATGAAGATATAAATAGACGTATAACGATTTAATTTATTAGAGTTATTCGAGCAATTCATGAAGACATTAAATAATAAGCTGTTTGGATCCATGTAAAAAAGTCTTAATCCGAGTCACCTGTAGGTAATCACCGGATTACCGGAGATAGGATATGATCACCTGCAGGTATTAGCTGATTATGGATTACAACCAGTTGTTGTACGAAGAAACATCTTGCTATCACGTTATTTTGAGTACCCCAATGGCCTGCAAATCCGGACTTCCGATCTAATTCGATATGATTACAACTAGTTGTGATACAAAAAAGCATCTTGTAACATTCGCTATCACATTATTTTGAGTACCCTCTTGGTTATGGATTACAACTAGTTGTCATACGAAGAAGCATCTTGCTATCACATTATTTGAGTACCCTAATGGCCTGCAAATCCGAACTTCCGACCTAATTCGATATGGAATACAACTAGTTGTTATACGAAAAAGCATCATTATAACATTCACTATCACATTATTTTGAGTACCCTCCTAGTTATGGATTACACCTAGACATAATGAAAAAGCACAGTTATAACATTCGCTATCACATTATTTTGAGTCCATCCGAAGTTGAATTTTTTACCAGTTCTGTCAGATAATTTCGGGACAACAAGATCTCTATAAGGTATATCGGAGTAATTTATGAAAAAAATCAAATGGTAAAAATAAAATAATTGGCGCAATTAGGCTTAAAAAAAAAATGAAAAATTGAAAAAATGGGCCGATGATTAATGCAAAACGAAAAAACAACTTTGCGTGATTTAATAAATACCATCATAAATTTCAGGATAGTCTTCGTAACTCTTTTTTGATTTGAAAAGGTGAAAACAAAGATGCGTTAACTTTCAAAAAGTATAACGTTCCTGGTTTAAGC